GGAGAGGGACCAGCACCATCGGACCGTGACAAGGACGAATTATTCTAATGAGCTTCCTCCTGTAAACGAGCCGCCAGCAGAAGGTGCACAGGGAAAAAACCCACGGGGGGAAAAATCCACAGGGGAAAAAAACCACAGGGAAAAAAAACCTCACAGGGAAAATACCACAGGGGGAAAAAAAAACCCACACAGTGCTGTCCCCGTGTTTCCAGCATCACTCAAACCTGGCCGGGGCCTTCCCACACGTGCCCGACCCCGACTTAAGGGCGGCTTGTGCCCGATATCACGTAAAGTGACACTTTTCCCAGGTGTGACCTGGATTAATAGTGAATTATTGGAGTCCAAGGCTCCTCCTGAGCCTGCCCCCGGCTTGGCTGCGGCGCTGGGGAGGGACACCTGAAACAGGAGATGCTCCCGGTGCTCCCGCTGTGCTCCCGGCCCGGTGCCGATAAGGAGGCGGCAGCCGGAGCCCGCCTGGCTCTGGCACAGCAAACGCAGCCAGTAAATTTCCACTGGGGCAGCTCCGAGTTAATGAGCTCAGTGCGTGACCCCGGGAGCTGCCAGCGGTTGGGAGGAATTCCCCAGGAAAGCCGGGAGGGGACGGGGACCCTTCCTGTGTGAGCGTCCCCGCGCCACAGGAGCCGGCCCTCGGTCCGCTCCGAGGTGGTGAAGGGAGGGCTGGGGGGCACAGCTTGGCTCGGAGGCAACATCTCACACCAAAACTGGAGGATTTTGGGATTTGCAAGAGCATCAAGCCCGGCTCCTGCTCCATGAGCGAGTCCCACCGGCCCTGGGAGCATCGTCTCCCTGTGTGGGTGCTGGTGCTGCTGCTGTGTCCACCCCAAGGTCAAGGACAGAGCACAGACCTCCCCGTTCCCCCCACCTTGAAACAAATAAGCCAAGGCTGTGTAAAATGTTATTTGAGCCCTGGATTATTTTCACCTTTTCTGCAGTTTGCTATTTTGGAGGTAGAATCCTGAATTGGGCACTAAATCCAAGCGAACACAGGCTCGTTATGGACATGGGGGGATCCAGTGCCATCACCGTGGTCTCTGGCCCTGTCACCTGCTGTTTGAGGGAGCTCCCAAAGCAAGAAAACAGCAGCTATTCCAAGGATTTTACGCTCCTGAGTGGTTTTATCCTCGATTTTATCCTGCCTGCTCCAGCCCCGGGGATGCTGCCGAAGGCACGGAGACAGCAGGGACAGGGACAGCCTGGACACAACGGAGGTGCTGTTTGTATCCCGAGGTTTTGCTGGATGATTCACACGGGTGGGCGGAGGTGGGAGCTCCGGCAGCGTGGACAGGCAGTGTCTGTGCCAGGCTCATCCCCCCCCTCGCTGCTCCAGCTCCTGCTCCCCAGGGATGTGACTCACTCCCCACGTCAGACCCAGCTGGGCTCCCGGGGAGGGGAAGGGAGAGCCCCCTCCATGGATTTGGGAGCATCCCTGAGCCTCCTGCTGCTCCAGGGTCACGGACTCTGTGCTCCCCTCTAACTCTCTGTGCTGACACAGCCCCAAAAGCAGCTTTTCCTCTAAAATAACCCCTCAATGGTGCTGGAGTGGGAAGACCCCCCAGCTCCTGCCAGGGCTGGAGGCCGATCCCACCGGAGCAGGGCAGCGTTCCAAGGAGTTGGCCCATTCCAAGCACCTCTTCCCTCTCCTCTTTCTTACACCTACTCCCTGCTCTGACACTTCCAACTCACTCAAGTGACCCGGTTCCTTCCCGTTTCCTGCTTCCAAACTCCACGCCAGCCATTTATCACCTTTCCCTTTTTTGAGTTTCCTTGCAGGGAGAAGCACTGAAAAGAAATCCACAACCTTATTGTCTGCTTGTTTTCCAATACAGTGAATTTATTATATGTTGCAAAATCAGCATTCAGCTTTTTTAGTGTACAAAAAAAAGGACACTAGCTCTTAAGAAAAAAAAAAAAAGATTAGGAAAGCTGAAGACTATGCTGCCTTGAAATTGTAACATTTTGGCAAAGTGAAAAGCTCTTTTTTGTAAACTCCAACTCCATGGCTCAATATAGTTTTTATCCACAGTACAATATTACAAAGTAAAACACAGTATCAATAAGTTAAGATCATACTTAATCACCTAGAACTGGTTTCTATTAACCCAAAAAGCACAAAATTTTGCCTAAAGCTTCGTCATCTCTAAAAAGGAAAAAAAAAAAAATAAAATAAAATAAAAATAAAAAGGCAGATTCGACTACAATTCTTTTAACACAGTCCAAAAGAAAAGTGAAGCAGGAAGTTGGTGGATGCTAATTGGGTCTCACAGTTTGGATATTCATTAAATATTTTCAGTTTCTTTTTTTTTTCTTTTAATATTCAAATTTTTTAGAAGTTCCAGAATATACATGTAAATGTACACAATACATCTTTGTATACAACTCTGTTTGCAAAAATATCTTATAGCAGATGTATAAAGATTGAGATCCATCTCTATCCCCCCCCCACGAGCAACAAAAAAAACCCCCCAAAAACAAAACAAAACAAAAAACAAAAACCCCTTTCGAAATTAAGGATCAGGAGAAGTGTTTTCCACGGAAGAATTTACTCATCCTGGGTTTGTAGCTGCTGCCTCTTCGGCCATCCCGAGTTTCGAGCTCCTCCACAGTCAGAACGAAGCCCCCCCCCGAGCCCCAGCACTGGGAAATTCAGCCTTGCCCCCCAAAAAACAGGGAATTGGGAGGTTCTGGCACCAACGGTGTCACGGCAGCTCTGGGGATTGTGGGATCCCAGGCCCTCCTAAAGCCCCCTCTCCCAGATCCCCAGGGCTCCACCTGGGAGCAAGAATTCCCAGCTGGGATCAGAGCCCGGAGCTTGGGCGCCGCCGGAAACTCAGGGTGAGACCCCACGGAGCAGGAGGACAAAAGTTTTCCAGGGAAAAGCTCCTTGCCTTTGGAACTCCCGGGTGTTTCCCAGCTCTCCCTGAGCAGCAGAAGCAACACCCAACACCCCCCTGAGCTCCAGGTGGGACTTGGGGAGGGAGGGAGGGAGGGAGGGATGGGAGCAGAGCATTCCCCGAGATTCCCACTGGGAATGCCCTGGGGAGGGTTTTTCTGGGATGCTGGTCCCCCTCTCCTGACCAGGGCTGGGTTTGGGGACCAGTGGCTGCCACGGTCACCGTGTGCCTTCAGCTGTCACCTTTTCCTTGGAAAAAAAAGGGGATGGCAAAGTCCCAGGGAGCGCTGGATGCCCAGGGAGAGACCTCGGAATAAAGTGACAAAGCAAAGCAGTGGCCTTGGCTCTGTGACAATAATGGAATTATTATTGGTATTATTATTATTATTGTTAATTTTCTCTTCTTTTTTTTTTAATACAGCAGATGGACCCACTTTGGCTTCTCTGGGGGCAGGAAAAACTCCCAGTTCCTCCTTGTGCAAGAAGTGTTTTCCCCCCTTAACTCTGCCATTCTGCTCCTTCAAAGGGTGAAAAAGGCTCTTCAGTGCAACCTCCAAGGGAAGGAGACTCCACAGGGAAGGAATCCTTTACTTTGAGATAAACGGAAGCGGGAAGAAGTCAAATCCCACAGGCTGGCAGGATTAAAAAGGGGAGAGGGGAGAGAAAGAAAGGAATAGCAGAGTTAAAGGACACCTTTGTGCTTTTCCGAGTGTTTCTCACACCCTGGCCATACTCTAAAAAAAATGTTCCCTTCAATCCAAAATAAGAAGGGGGGAAAAAAAAAATAAAAATCAGGAAGCAAGACTGCAGGGAGAAGCTGGCTGGATAAAAGCACACCAGTGGAAGGGATCTGTGTGGGAAAACAGCACCTTACTGCTCTCACACTGCTCTGAGAAGGGTTTGCTGCTGCTCCTTTGGAAGGACACACAAACAAACAAAAAAAAAATCCCAGGAGAAAGCAAGGCAACCCCCCACCCCCTCCTCTCATGGATCAGGAATAAAACAACTCCCTCTGGGTGACTGTTTGATAAGTTTTAGTAACACTGCAAGGAAAGGTTCCCCAAAAAAAGGTGCCTAAAAGGGAAAGGGAGGCACAATTTTAGAAAAAGATGTTTATGGGTTTTTTTTCCCCCCTTTTTTTTTTTGATACAAAAATAGACCAGAGAGTCTCGTCAAGCAATTAATAAAACCTTGGCTGCCTCGGTAGAAAATGATAAAAGTCCAAAAGACAGACAGGAGATGGAGACAGGTCTCCATCTTCCCAGCTGCTTGGCAGGTGGAGAACGGGGCAGACGGGGGGAATCACACATGAGCAGGGCAAAAAAAAATGGGATTTTGGGGTAATTTTGGGGTAATTTTGGGGGGGATCCACCCATGCCCTGGCCGAGGGGGGACCCCCTGAGCTGCCACAACCACTCCCACCCACCTCCCCCGAGATGACAAAGCAGGGACAGACAAGGAGAGCTCTGGGTACGTGGTGTATTTCCGCGGTGCCGGGAGCAGGCGCAGCCCCCTCGTTCCGACGGTCACTCGGAGCAGCAATTCCAGTTCCTCACCATCTGCAGGACAATTTGTAACCCAAAAGTGGAGCCTGGCCAAGGGGGGGAATTATAACACTTCATGCCAAACTTAATTTTAATTCCATGAAGAAAAAAAAAAACACCTACGGATTCTTAACCTTTTTGGGAGAGTTTCGGTGGCTTTTTAGGAGAGTTTTTTTTTTGTGGGTTTTTTTTTCTGGTTTTTGTTGTTTTTTTTTTTTTTTCCCTTAAGTGTCCAAACGCTGGCTTCCAATAAGCAGATTAATTTCGTTTCATCCGTTTCGTTACATTCCAACATTCAGAGAGGCTTTAAAAAAAAAAAAAAGGAAAACAAAAAGAAAAAAAAAACAAAACAAAACAAAACAAAAAAACCAACCCAAAACTCGGGAGGAGCGTGCTGGACGTGGACACGACAAGATTCGGCATCATAAGTCATCCCCAAAGTTCTTCAACCACGAGGAATAATTAATGCTCGTCTCTGAAAGGGATTTTTGGGTGTATAAAAGGGAAAAAAAAAACAAAAAAAAAGGAACGTCCAGGTGACTGGATTTTTTTTTTTGTTTTGCCCTACCCAGTCCGGGGGGGAAAGAGGGGGGAGTGGCAGCTAAAACTGCTGCTGGTCATACTCTGCTATGAGTTTTTTGATGTGAGCCAGTTTGTTGTGGAGGTATTCGCAGCGGTTCTTCTCTTGGCTGTAGTTGGGGTTAGTCTGGAAAAGAGAAAATGAAAATGCAGAGGTGGGAGGGGATTCTTCACGAACCCCCAAGCGGGGTCAAAACAACCACAGAGAAATGTAGGGAATCGTGGAAGGGTTTGGGTTGGAGGGAACTTAAAGCTCATCCAGTGCCACCCCCTGCCACGGGCAGGGACACCTCCCACCAGCCCAGGGTGCTCCAACCTGGCCTTGGGCACTCCCAGGGATGGGGCAGCCACAGCTGCTCTGGGAATTCCATCCCAGCCCCTCCCCACCCTCCCAGGGAGGAATTCCTTCCCAATATCCCATCTATCCCATCTATCCCTACCCTCTGGCAGTGGGAAGCCATTCCCTGTGTCCTGTCCCTCCATCCCTTGTCCCCAGTCCCTCTCCAGCTCTCCTGGAGCCCCTTTTTAGGCCCTGGAAGGGGCTCTCAGGTCTCCCTGGAGCCTTCCCTTCTCCAACCTGGCCTTGGACACTTCCAGGGATGGGGCAGCCACAGCTTCTCTGCCCAACCTGTGCCAGGGCCTCCCCACCCTCCCAGCCAAGAATTCCTTCCCAATACCCCATCTGAAAACCTCCTTTCAGTTTGAAGCCACTGATATGACCAAGGAATGAAGCTTTTTTTTCAGAAACTCATTTAAAATGGACCTACCCCTGTATTCCTCAACACTCTGATCAAACAAAACAAGGAATAAAATCCCTCTTCAGCATTTATCCAGCTCCAGGAGCCTCATCCCAGGGAATGAGCTCACCTGAGTGAGGCTCAGCCTCACTGGGAGCAGTTCCAACAAGCACCACCCACCCTCTGCCCCCACCTGGGAGCTCTGGATCAAAGCTGAACATCCAACACCCAGGGAACCTCCTCAAAAAGCTCCTAAATCCCTCAGGACAACGGGGCTCAGGATCATATCAACAGATTTAAAAGGAAAACCCCAACCCCCCTGCTGGTGTGCGGATGTTTTTTTTGCATGAACAGAGAAAAATTTAATGTTTAAAATTTAATGTTTTTCACTGATCCCAGCCTGGACCTCGTGTACCAGCCCCCCTCAAAAATCCTGGAGGATCCTGGTGCATCTGAAAACACAAACTGTTCTTTCCCTGGAGAGATAAAGGCCCTGATTTCACCCGGCCATTGTGCCACGGCCACGGCTGAGCGCTCCCCGGGATCCCAGCTCCCCCCCAAACCCTTCCTGAGCTGCTTTCTGGACGGGCTGGAGCTGAACAAAGATCTGCTGGAATGCCTCAGAGCCTGGGTTTGCACTTGGCAGGGGCCCATCTCTTTCAGTCACACCAGGGGCACCACCCAAAAGTCTTTTTCGTGGCCAAGTCCATTCGCTTACCTTTTTAATTTTCCGATATTCCTGTAAAATTTGATCATGGATGGTCTAAAAAAAAAGAAAAAAAGGGGGGAGAGGGGGAAATAGGTTTATTATTTTTTAGTTCTGCAACCTCCCGCAGCAGGAAATATTTCCTGATGGCTCAACGTACACGATTCCTCCGAATTCCAACCGGAATCTGCTCCCTCCACGACTTCCCTGGTGGCTACAACCAGTCTCTGATTCCATGAATATACTGGAGCTGACTCCAGAGGCACTGGGAGGATCAGAACTACCTGTAACAGGCACCTCAGTTCTGGGATAATGGACATTTCCAAAGCTCCAACTTTGATTTTTTTCCCCTCCAAGATATTAAAAATCCAGCGAGGGATCCCCGAATTTCGCAAGGGGAGAGGGGAGGGACGTCTGAGGGAGCTTCAGCACAATAGGTGCTCTGTAAAAATCTGTTTATTACCCTCAACCAGGCTTACTTTTTCAAGCTAATGAATAGCTAAAACTCTTTAAAAATCACCCTGACAAGTCCAATAATGGTGCATTGGGAAGATCAAAGATTCCAGAGGAGCAGATGACCCCGTGCTAACTCCCCTTCCAGCCCCGATACGCTCCCATATGTGCAAATATGAGTTTTTCTGGCTGGGATACACTAATAGCTTCCAGCAGCTTTTGGCTGAGGACGCCAATTGTCTCACTGAGGCCTTTCCTTGTCAACAAGTCCCATGATGTGGCTCCAGCCTGAAAAGGGAGCAGCACAGAGCCGGGAGAAGGGCAGACCCCAAAGCTGTCGGGCTGCGCGCACGTTCCCCACCGGTTCTGGGTGGAATTCCACCCAAAAAAAAGGGGTTTTAATGTGTATTTAACGGGTTTTAATGCGTGTCCTGCCTCTTTGTACCTTATACTCTTCAGAGCCCTGCAAAAGCTGCTTGAGCTTGGCGTCCAGCTGCGTGAAGCGCCGGGTTATCCGCTCTATCCGGGCGTGCAAGTCCCTGTACTCGTTGTATTCCGCGTTGAAGTCGTTCTTGTAGCTCTGACGCTGCTCCGAGGAGGAAATGGCCGCGTATTTTCTGCAGGAAAGAGGGGTTTTGGGGGCAATGGGGTTAGGGGGAATTCCCTCTGGGTGATGGAAAACCGAGCTGTGTATGATTTAGGATCGTGGAATCGTTTCCGGGGGGTGTCGGGAAGGAATCGTTGGCTGCGAGGGTGGGGAGGCACTGGAATGGTTTTCCCAGACAAGCTGCGGCTGCCCCGTCCCTGGATGTGCTCCAGGTCAGGCTGGATGGTGCTTGGAGCGACCTGGGATAGGGGAAAGGTGTCCCTGGATCCACTTTAAGGTCTCTTCCCACCCGAACCAGTCTCGGGGATTCTGGGATTAAGGTTGGAAAAGCCCTCCAAGATCAAACCCAACCACTAACCCACGTTCCCAAGTGCCACATCCACATGTTTTAATTCCCCTGGGCATGGTGATTCCCTGTTCCAGTGCCTGACCACCTGCCAGCAAAGGAATCCTCCCTCCCAGCCAATCTAAACCTCCCCTGGTGCAACTCTGAGGCTGTTTCCTCTCATCCTGATTTTGCACCACAGTAGCAACTTTGGGAGGTGACTGTCAGGATTATTGCCTTGACCTCCCTGTAAAACAAAACCACTGTTTTGCTCCCAAAACTTCCTATCTCTGCCAGATAAGTGTGGGATACACAGGTACACAACAGCCTGGGAGCAGCTGTGGGTGGAGGAAGACACTCAGATAGTGCTGCTACAGCTTTTCTAACTCCTGCTGTCCCGCAGAACATGGAGTTCTGCCTCTGTGCCAGGCATTGGAACAGCAGGAATACGATGCTTCCAGTGCTGAGTCTTTAAAGGAACACAAAAAGCATTGAGCCGTCGTTGCAAAACGCTCACGGGGGTGATTATGTGGCAAGAGCACGACAAGAAAGCCACGGTGAGGAGCTGGACTTCGTTTCCAGCACCTTCTGGAGACACCCAGCGTGCTCACGGTGAGCAGATGTGCCTCTGGGGCCCTTTGGAAGCCATTCAGCTCAACAAAAAAGCCATTAAACCTGACATTTACAGCCCTCTCTGAAGGTAAAAACTCAATTTTTGGGAGGGGACGGCTGTTAATTTGCCTCCCTGACTTGGCTGCAGCAGCCCCAGCTCGGTGCTTGAACACTTAAAAGGCAATTTAGGCCTCAAATTAAGGGGGAGATTTCACTCTTTTAACTTTTTAAGCACTTTTTAAGTGCTTTAGCCTTCAAGAACTGACCCCTTGCTGCAGGTTGGGATAAAGAAGCATCAACACAGGACAGGAGGTAAGTCCTCTACCAGCACAAAACATTCACCTTCACGATTAAAACAGCTCTTAAAATGTGCCACAACTCCTGTAATTTAAGGATCCGACCATCAGAACAGTTGGATCCCACCAGAAGGTGAGAGCACAGAGCTCAGAGAGCTCCCACTGATGCTCTGGAGAGGGACCAAGGAGCTGCGATATCCCTTTGTAGGAGGAATCAGCACATCTGGGAAAGACAACCCCCCCCAGCCACCCAAATCCCTCTGAATGGCCCTAAAAGTGTCACCTTGAGGGGGCTGTTTGGGGTTCACACAGCCCAGAAAACCACACAAGAACCCTTTATCTCCTCCAGGGAATTCCTCCTCCATCCCTTCCCTCCCGGTGATCCCAGCTCTGATGGAATCCAACCCCAGGCTGTGACATGCACAGGGAACATCCCCCCCAGCTACACTTCCTCCCCATCCCAAAGCTTTGCCTGGAACAGGTTTTGGGGTTTATGCAGATCCTGGGCTTTGTGCACGGGGTTTTTTTTTTGGAGTGGGTTGTTCCATGAACCTCGAGGGGATCTCATTAAAGAGCCAAACAACTCCCATCCCAACCCAGGGGTTAGAACCTCCCCTTAAAGAACATTTCACTGCTTTATGCTGATGATCTTGGCTCTGGAGAGGGGAAGAATTAGCAAACCTCCCCAAATCCTTCCTTGCCTTGTTTTCCATAACATTAAAGCAGATTATTTCCCCTCTGAGTTTCCAGCTGTAATGTTCAATCCTTTCCAACCCCTCCAAGGTATAAAATGTTTCTTGAACTACTTTGACAATCAGTTTATAGGAGATAAACCTGAACACTCCACAGGGAGGTAAAGAACTGATTTGATGCCAAGTTAAGTCTCAGAAACTCTGCAAAGCTGGATTTACTCTTTTTTTTTTTAACCCACCTTACAAAGTTCTATCAAATAACATAAAAGTCCAACAAAAATCCCCTGTGCATTGTGATTTTTTAGCTTGAAACACGATCCCAAAGTGATGAAGCAACCGATAAAAAAATACTTACAATAAATAATCTGGCATTTCTGAAGTTGATGTTGGTACACTAGAATTATTGCATGTTCCATTTAAACCTGAAAAAATAAAGGCTTGTTTATAGACGTTCTGAAACTTCAAAGCTCTTTGCAATTCAACTTCAAAACCTCGTGAACTCGTCTGCAACATCCAGTTTATGGAATTCTAAAGGATTTCTGTTTTGCTTGGAACCGACAGAGACAGAAGAGCCACAACAAGGTGGTTGAGAGTTCAAGGCTTCTCTACTATTTGTCTGTCAGCAAAACAACCCCAACATCAGCCAGGGCGAAAAAAATCTGAATTTAATTGGTGTATAAACATTGCCTGGAGTGGGATAACACTGATAGCACCACTGGGAATGGGAAAAACACGTTCTGAGCCCAGAGAACGGAGCTGAGCAAGGTGAACATTCTTTTCTCCTGCTTCTACACTTCAGAGATTCCCCAGAGGAATATTCCAGGTGCAGATTCCTGATGCTCGCAATCCAGGGCACCACACAGAGGTTTACAGGGAATGCAGCTCTCTCCTCACACAAATCCAAGTGCTCCCTGCTCCAGGAAAGTGGGTTCAGCATCAATAAGGGCTCAGCTAAGGATGTTCAGGAGTTTCAGGGATGGGAGCAAAGATTTCAGGAGGAACAGGATTCGGAGGGAGCCTAAACCAGACCCACCCTCAGTGGAAACCAAGCACTGCAGGGTAAATTTGGAGGAAGAAAGCAAGTGGATCCAGGTTGGAAAAGGGATATTTCTCACAAATTGTGTGTTATACTCCCAAGTCCTCATCAGAGTCAGCAACAACCTGATCACATCTTTTTAAAAACTGGTTTTTCCCCCCTGAATTTCCACAGAAAGGCTTTCCTGGGCAGAACCAGAGAATGGCACCAACCCAGGGTTTATAAAACCACCCCAGTCTCCAATTCCTGCTGCAGACAAATCCTGGTTTTCCCTCCTTCCCTGCCCACAGCGTGGAAGAGGCAGGATGTGGGCTAAGGAAGGTTCAAGGATCGTGGAGGAGGAGAAAGGGAGACAAGGAGGTTTGTTCTGCCTGTGAGTGCCACCTACTGACGCTGAGAGGACCCCAGAGGTCCCTCTGGAAGAAACTTCCCAGGAGAAACTTCCACTACTAAGGGAAGGTGCCCCTGCCCATGGCAGGAGTTGGAATGAGATGAGCTTTTGAGGTCTCTCCCAACCCAAATTCTCTGTGATTCCATCAAATATTTCCCTTCAGCCCCAGGGGGGAAGTGGGGAAGGAGCAGGATGAGGCACAAAGGCACAGAAGAAGGAAAAGCTCCCAGTGCTGGAGTTCCAAGATCCAAGCAGGACTGACCACATCCTGTTGGTGACTGCTCCCAATCCAGCTCGGATTCGTTACCTCCCAGCAGGAACAGAACCCAACTAATTAACAGACATCCAGTCATTAAGCTGTCAGGCCAAGCAGAGAAGGTGGTGAAGGCTCAGCAACTTCAGAATTTTGGGGGTTTGGGTATTTATAAGAAACAGGGACAAAAAAAATGAAGAGAGAAAAACGTGTGTGTGCCCGTCCAGAACCACCCCGGAGGTACCCGGGGAGGAAAACCAACAGGGGAGAAAGCCAACACTCCCAGAAAAAACTGGGATTGACACCAGAGAAGGTTAAAGTAGAAGAATTATCTAAAAAGCTGATCCTGCAGTGCCACACAACCATGGACTGTCCTTAAAATCACTGCTGAGCCATCAAAATGCTTCTGTAGGTGCTACAAACGCTGTGGGGAAGGTGAGAGCTGACACCAGCTCAGCCCCAGGGCCCTGGGAATGGCTCCCTTTCCAAGAATCCAACAAATTAGTTTCCATTTCCAAGATACTGTCCTTTTTTTGAGCCAAAATTGGATCATTTTCATGCACCAGGCACGAAGGAGAACGTGGAAAGCAGGAGCAGGGCAAAGGAAAACGAGATGGATTAAAAAAGAAATTTAAAAGATACTCCCAGGGGCTGCAGGGGAAGTCCCAACGCTCTGGGGAGCTGGAACAAACAGCAGAAAACATGGAAGCAGCAGGAAAGGCAATGGATGGGATTGGCCAAGAGATATTTTCTGCTCTGGCTTCTAAGAGTTCACAGAACTGACTTTGAAACAGTGGTTAAGGGAAAATGTTTTTTGTACGAGATTCACTCTTGTGTCAGTCCCTGAATAAATAAATTCAGAGTCCTAGTGGGATACAAGGAAGCTCTTCCAGGCTGGAAGAGCTGGTTGGATACTGCTTGGACAGCATTTATCACCAGATTTCTCTATCACTTCATTTGTATCTAATATTAAAAGCTTTCGTGAGTAACTTTTCATTAAAAGAACCCCAAACAACAGCCACCACAACCCCCACGAGGAGCTGCTCTTCCCTGCCTTTCATCCCCACGGATTATCCCGGCTTTTAATTGAACCAGGAGAGAGGAACATGACACGCTCTGAGGCAGCTCCAAAAGGTTAAACAGGAAAAACCTGCTGCCCTCTGTGGAGAGGAAGCACATTTGGTGATTTGGAGGTAGGACAGCGCCGGCATCTCGTTCCCCGCGGTGCCTGGGAGCGGACGGGATGTGCTCCCTCCGTCCTCAAAGGATCCGGAGCGGGATTGGGATCACACCCAGCCCCAACACCAAAATTACCTCTCAGCCCATCCTTACCTGTGACCTGTTCCTGGGGAACACTACCTAAGTCAGCGTTTTTTATTACTTCACAGTTCTGCTTCTCCTCTTTGCACTTCTCCTCGCCCTTCTTCTCCTTCCTCTCCTTCTCCTTGTCTTTGTGCTTTTTGGATTTTTTCTTGGATTTGACGTAGGAGCCGCAGTTGTGTTTGCTGGTCTGGGGACAGTCTGTGGGCGGGGGGTGGCTCAGCCTGTCCGTGGCCTCGCTGCTCTCACAGTCTCTGCCGTTGTGAGCCGGGTCATTGCTCACATCCGAGAGGGGGTCGTGGGGCCGGGGCAGCTCCAGCACCGGGAGGTTGGAGCTGGAGGAGCTTCCCGACTCCGGGAGCGCCGGCGGCAGGGCGGGAGGAGGGGGGGGAACGGGGGCGTCCTTCCCGTTGGAGGAGCTCAGCTTCCCGTTGAAGGTGGGTTGGGTTCTGTGAGCCAAATGCGAGATCCTGGGCTTTTTGTTGGCCAGGGGGTCGATGAACTCCAGAGGCTGGGATCGTTTCTGGAGGAGGGAAACGGGAGAACAAAAAGCGGGTGATGGCGAGGGCTCGAGGTTACCACTAGGTGGTGGTGCAAGACAGGGAAGAAGGGAGTGTATTCCCGGGAAAAGCAGCTGATCCATCCCAAGCTGCTTCCTGACAGCCTTCCAGAGACTACAGCTTGGTGGGAGAGCTTAGAGGATCCCACCATCCCATCAGGAATCGCTGACCTGCTCTATCCAGACACAGGCCAGCTCTCACTTCAGCCTGTTTCAAATCCAGCCCTTTGGAATTCAAACCCCTGTCCCAGAAAATTAGCAGAGATTGGAAACATCCCTGGAAGTGCCCAAGACCAGGTTGGATGAGGCTTGGAGCAACCTGGGCTAGTGGAAGGTGTCCCTACCCATGGCAGGGGGTGGCACTGGATGGGCTTTAAGGTCCCTCCCAACCCAAACCAGTCCAGGATTCCATGATAAAAACACCTGTCCCGGTCATGGCACAACATCCAGAGCACCCCAAATCCCCTGCAAAGGAAAAAAAAACGTACTCAGACCTGCGGGGCAGGGAGGGGGATTCACCAGTTCTGCATTTTCTTCCCTCCCAGCTCTGTGGTCACCAGCTTCACCCCTGCAACCCACTCCTTCCTCTTCTCGAGAGCCAGGCATTGCCCAGAAGAGCTGAGGAAGTGCCAACTGCTCAGTTCTCAGAAGTTCAGGCCAGAAAGGGGACGTTTCCAGCACTTCAAAAGCCACGTCACAGGGGCCAACGTGACCCCAGCGAGCCTTTTTTTTTTTTGAACAAGTGCAGAGAGGGAAGTTGTGCCCATCAGCAGGACTGTCACAGGCAGATCTGGAGCAGCTCCACGTGCCCACACCTCCCTGGAGTGCAGTTCTCCAGCCTGGAAAAGCTGCTCCATGGAAGAACCCATCCATCAGGCAGCAGAACCACGGCTGTCGGGCTCAGCCCAGCGTGTGCCAGCCAAAATCACCCTCCCTGTGTGCCCACCTGGCAGCTCCAGGGCTGCAGGAACTCTGAGCAGGGATTATTCAGTGCCCAGAGGAAAACAGGCCATAGTTTTGGGTATTTCTTTTGGATAATTCACTATTTTCCTTCTGTCTCAGGCAGGGCTGTGACGTGTTTGCAAATGGAAACGTTGCTCCATCGCGGAGGTGACGGCTCCAGGAGCCCCTAATTCACCCCTTTCCCTCCCTGCTTGTTATTCCTCTTTGCTAACTCAGGGGTCTCCAGGACTCTGCTCCATGCCAGGGATCCTTCCCACCTGTCCAGGTGATTGGGAAGAGGAGCTGCTGGTTCTGCCACTGAGCTCCAGGGGCAAGGCCAGCACGTCCAACCGGCTTTGCAACATCACCTCCCAGAACACGCAGTGTCCACCTCGCAGAGGAGGGGCCACCTCTGACTGCAGCTCTCAGAACAGGTCACTAAAACACCACCAAACTGCCCTATTTTACCACCTTTGCCCTCAACCCAACAGATTCCAGCTTCACCTCCCTGCTTAAGAGGTGCATCCCATCCCTGCTCAGCCAGGCTTCCTTAGGATTGCCAGACCAATCCTTATTTTTTTTATTTAACACCCTCATTCCACAGCTGAACTTTCCCAAAATGTTCTGCATTCCTGACTACCAAATCCCAGTCCTCTGCTGGCACTGCACCCATTAGCAGCCATCCCTCTCTAAACAGAAACTACAGCTAGAGAGCACTAAAAAAAGTGACAGCTCACAGTGCTGGCTGTGGTTTGGTGTCTGACACAACAGAATCACTACTGCAAACATTTCAATCCCCCATTTGGTTGCCCCTGTTTTCACCAGCCTTTTCTAAATCCAAACCAACCAACCACCTTCTCCAAATCCAAACCCATCAACCACCCCAAAGTTTCAAACTCCAGAGACCCAAACCATCCTCTGAGTCTTTCCAAGCAGGGCCAGCCAGAAGCAAGATTGATTTTTCAACCTTATTTTTTTTCCAGAATCAGTTAAAAAACACACAAGCCCAGCCTGTTAACAGCACTGTGCGTTTCCAAGCTAACTTGAAGGTGATCTTTATTCCCCAGGAACTTGCCCACAGCAGAGCAGGAGAGGATTTGGAATTAGCTACCTGGCAAACAAGTTACACAGTCCTTGTTCTCAATAGAGAATTGCCTCCCTCTTACTGCCAGAAAGCACATAATTTCTTTACCTGCTAATATTCTTTGCCACTAATCCTCAGTGCGTCTGTCCAGACAAGTAGGAATTACACATTCCATTGGCAGGAGAAGAATAAATACTCAACTTGTCTGGGCTGACCCACAGTGGAGAGAGAAGGGAAGGAGACATTTCACAATGTGAGAAACGCCTGTGCTGAGAGGATCCTGGGAAAAGTGGGGACAGACTCTGCCTGACACACACACACACCAAGCACAGCTCCTTGGAGAGGGGGGTGTTTCTTCTGATGGAAAAAACAGGCAAAATGTTCTTTTCACAGCTCCCATCCCAGAGCAGCCCATCCTGCCCCTGGATCTGTCACAGACCTGCAAAAGGTCAAGGGTTTTAATAACTCCAGCGTTGTGTTTGGGAGCTGCTTATTAAGGCTTCGTTCCACTCGATTATTAGTAATGAGGAAAACACGAGCTCGCCCTCCCAGGAACTCCAGGAGGGATGTGGGCACTGGGGAAAAGATTTCAGCCCTTCAAACTGAACCTGAGACAGGCTGGGAGGGATTCTCCCCACAGGGCCAGAGGAGAAACAGATGCTGAGGGAACCCAGGATTAGACTGGGACTTAATAAAACAGAAATAAAACCCCGACGACCTCTCGACCCACCAGCAGGTGATTATGGGGTGCAGACAGGCAACAGCTCTGCCTGGACACACCTCCAGCAGGCAAATCCATCAGGAGGAGGAGATGGATCCCACCACCTTGGGATCACCCACCTGAGGGGGAGAGCTGGAGTTCACGGTGTCCTTTGGAGGGCTCAGGGAAGGTGCTTCTCCTTGAAAACCGCTGCTGTTCTGGGGCTGGCAGAGCTTCCTGGAAAACAAGGAGGTTGGAGGTGGTCAAATCCCACGCCTTGGGATGGCATTTCCCATCTCCCCGTGGAGGAAAGAGCCTTTTTTTGGGCTCGGGGTGAGATGCCACGGAAGCAGCTCGTTCAGGCAATGCCAGCTTTGATCTCTGACAAAATCCAGGGAGGAGAAACTACTACAGGAAAACATCAGTGACAAGTGGTAATTCCTTATCTCCTTCCTGCTTTCCCATTCTGTCTGATGATTCCCTGGGAATGGTGGGACCAGCACTGGCAGGGAGGGAGGAGTAAAGGCTGAGCTCTCAGACACAGGAGAGGATTCCCTGCTGAGGATGGAACTGATTTTCCAACATTTTTTACCTCTTTCCTCTTGGACTTTTGATGTGAGAATTGCAACAAATTAATGACAGGCTCAGAAACACGATCCATGTGGAGATGAGTAAAACTGGCATTGAATTTTGAAGTGTAAAGGATATAATACATTATTCTTCTGACTGAAATACAGCTCAGTAAGACATTAATTCAACACATTTCTGCTGAGATTTTGCTTTACCCAGTTAAAACTGACTTCAGGAGACAACTCAGAAAGCAAAGCTCACTGAAAAGGGGCTGAAACTCAAGGTCAGATGTTAAGGAATAAGTTCTCCCACTCATCAGCATCATTAAAACAACATTTTATGGGAACAGCAGTCCTTTCAGCAGCGAGCCCCTCTGGGTCCAGGAAAAACAGGATTATAACAGGAACTGTCGAGGTATTATTGGTCCACTAGGATTTACATTTAGGGCTTCACAATAACACTTTTAAGTTGCATCATGCAAAACAAAGCTACTCTGGGCTGTATTTGTGGCGTTTGACAAATAATAGAAACCTCCTGTAGCAAAAAAAAATGACAATTATTATCACTTAAGTGCCTTAATTCCCCTTCAGGCCGGGTCTCTGCTCCTCCCCAGATCTTGGAGTGCTTTCCCAGCCCACCAGCTTTGCCCAGACTGTCCCTGCATTAATCACCCAGACAAAAAAATCTACTGTTGCATCAAGTTGTAGCTGACAAACTGAAAAAAAAAATAATAATAAAAAAAAGAATTCAGGGTTAAAGGTTTTTAATAAAGTAGCTCTGCAGTCAGTTTGTCACCAGCTGTGGAGCCCAAATAACCCAGGTCTAAATTCTTCCACAAGAAAACTACAGTCAGCATTAAAGCACATATTTTTTAAACATTAGGAAGATTATTTCAGAGATAACGCCCATGACTTGACAAGATTTTGCTTTTAACCTGAGCTTGAACCTTGGGCTGTGTTGCAGCAATATTTAGACATCATTTAGTCACAGCCAGCCCGGCTTTGTTTAATTTTATTTAGAACAATCTCAGCAGCTCAAGGAAAGTGTTTGGGGATTGTGAAAAGGGGAAAGGGATGGTGACATTGCATCAACACCCTGGTGAAAATGGCTTTTTTGGGGGCTGGGTCATCAACCTGAGCAACCTGCTCATGTCTCCTAATTGTTAATTGTGGATTTAAGAAGGGAACGAAAGACAAACGGGTTCAGCTCAGCAGCTCTGGGACAGCTGAAGGTTCCATGGAATCCTGGAATGGGTTGGGTTGGAAGGACCTTAAGGCCCATCCAGTGGGAAAAGGCCCATCCAGTGGGAAAAGAACCACCCAGTGCCACCCCCCTGCTGTGGGCAGGGACACCTCCCACCATCCCAGGTCGCTCAGGGTCCCGTTTTACACCCGCGGGAGGACGGAAAACACAAAACAGGAGGAAAAACACCACGAGCAGGGTTAGTTACAGCTCCAACATTTGCAGATGTTCCAATTATTGCAGCTGCTGAACCGTCCAGTGGCCACTGGCCCTGAAAACCAGGAGGACACGGAACAATTGGTTGGCTCCAGGCAACGCCGGCGACGTAAATCCAACGTCTGCCGCTGCCTGTGCCCTTTTCGTGGCTGTTTTTCTCCTGTCTTCAAACCCTACATGTTTTTTCCATTTTGGAGCCTCATTACCTGCATGGGCTGAGCGGGGCTTTGTTTGTACAGTTGAATACATCCTTTCCAAGGTCTATTTTTAGACCTCCTCCTAACTGATTCACGAAAAAAAAAAAAAAAAAAGCAGCAAACGTTGCTTTCTACGGGGAGAAATTCGCTTGGTTTTTGGAAAGCCATAAAGATTGCATGGCAGTTATAGCTCTCCTTTTAATTATAATTTAACATCAAGGCCATTTAAAGGAGTCTGATTTTACTTCAGCACACCAAAAGCACTTGGAGTGCAACTTTCTGTTGGTTTAGCAAAGTCTCATCTCCAAGCTGATTGTGCTTTTAAATCATGGGAGCTGCTCAAGCTGCTCTGCTTCATCTCAACCAAAAGTGCAATAAAATAAGGCACAAGTAAAAGCTCTGCCTGCATTACAAAGGCACTGAAAACCCAGAGAGGGAAATATAAACACTCAGAGAAGAATTCTCCTGGAGAAACCTGGGAGATTTGGGCTCTTTCCCTGCTGCCTTTCCAAGCTTGGAGGCTTCACTTAAGGAAAAAAATATCTGTAGAGGAAAAATATCTTTAGCAACCAAGGATCAAGTGAGTGTGTTAAGGGCTGTTTTCAGGGAGGAACAGGGATCCCTTGGACACAGAGGATCAGCAACAGGAACATCCAGCTCGTGTTTTAGGGGATTTATCCCTATGGAACTGCCTCTGCTTTTCCATGCATCCCTTCCTCCATTCAGATCTGAACCTCAGGGATGTGGCTGGGTGGTAACACCTTCTCCCTGCCTTTAAACACAGGGAGACACGTGCAAGGAGATGTGGGAAAAGGGAAGGAGACTTTCAGTGGAGAGCTGAGCTGGACACTTTTAATCCAAAGGTAACTTCCCTCTGCCAGCTCTGCTCCCTATCCAGGTTTTCCTCAAGCTTTTAGCAGAATGGTTTAAAGGCAACCCAGGAGCACCTGAAGAGTGGATCCACTTGGATATTCAAGTTTAGTCAACTCCTCCATCTGCCTGATGTTAAAACGAGTCAAACACTCAACTTTCAGACCTCAGTTACCCTGATTTCCAAGCTCCAGGTGAAATTAGGGAGAATATGGGATAATTACCTAACCAGGATCCTCTTCAGCAACTGCTGATCTCCTTCTGAGTAGCCAGGCCAGTCCTTCTGCACTTCTTTGTATACACAATCCTTCAGTGTGAAAGTGCTGTCCTTGGCACTCAAATTTGCCACCTGAAATGGAAGTAATCCGTAAAAACATCATCAGGGTTTAATTTTCTCACTTATTTTAACAAACAAGAGCTAAGATGAAGGCAAAACCTGAGCAGACTTAGCAGTGTCAGAGAACAAGGACTTCAGTATTTCACTTCCTAATTATTAAGATTATTTAATCAAACTGTGCCTTTCCTTTTGTGCCTTGTCACTGCAATAATTCATAACGAGTTCCTAAAGCACATCCAGCTTAGTGGGGAAATAAGTCCTATCTAAAAAAGATTATTCAGCTTGGGTAGCCTGGACCAGCACAACCAGCAGTTTATGGGAACACCTGGAAATAAACCCTAATGGGAACAGGCAGTTCTCTTATCACACCTGTGCCACAGCCAAAACAGGGCAGTTTATGGCTGAGAGAGGAACTCTCGTGGCCATAATTTAGTTAACAATTGCCAGGAGATATTTCCCTCACTGAACGAGCCAGGAAAAGAGGTGACAGAGAGCTGTTTTCTCAGAGAGCAAGAGAGGAGAATGCAGATCCACTGGATTGCACAGAGAACTTTTCCAAGGGTACTTCAGGGCAAGAGCAGAACCTGTGATTTGCAGCCTGGGCACCGCGGGGAGCTCAGCACGCGCCTCCTGACATTTATTTCATCCAGTTCCACCCCGTGGAGTTTCCCCCACAAACCCCTGCATGGGTAGGAAACACTGCTGGGACAGGCAGGGTTGGATTAGGATGGAAACAACTGGTTCAGAGTTATCCCACTCGGATCAGTCTTTCCACAGTTCGGCTGAAAATTCAACTTCTCGCCGCTGCTGGTTACACATGTGAAAAATCCAGTGTTGGCACAAGGCAAAGAGCCCAGATCAGGCTGTCACTGATAGTGAACCTCTCTCAGGTGATTCACAGAGTCATGGAATGGTTTGGGTTGGAAAGAAACTTAAAGCTCATCTCATTCCATGGGCAGGGACACCTCCCACTAGCCCAGGTTGCTCCAACCTGGCCTTGGCCACTCCCAGGGATGGGGCAGCCACAGCTTCTCTGGGAAAACCTGTGCTTGCAGAGCACTGCAAGTTTAAAGAAGAAAAGAAAGCCTTAAATGTGTTTTTGAAGAGGGACACAGAGGCCCAGGTGCCAAAGGCTCTGCCACAGCCAGCAGCTGCATCCCAAAATTCCCTGCCTGAGCCCCCTCAGCTTGAGGGACTCCCTGAAACTGGGAGATGTTTTTATTCAGTCCATGGAGACACTGTGCATCTGTTCTGGGATTACTGTTCTCCAGGGTTCCCTCCCTTCAGGAGATGGCTGTGCTTAGGGATTTCTGTTCTCCACACAGCAGCAAAATGCCTCAAAAACAAGAGAAGGAGTGGAAAGTCTCAAATGAACTGAAGATGCTGCTGATTCCCCTGCTTTTGCTTCAGGGAGGCTACGACCAAATATTAAAAAAAATATTAAAAATCTAGGCATTTCAAAGCAAAAAAAGCTGCACAAGTAACACAGCAAACTCTCCTGATAAGAGAAAAATAGAAAGCCCAGTTATCAGTTTACACGACCAACACTTTGTTTTTCCTTTCAGTTCCTGTCAGCTTTCCAAAATCCTGAGCCAAAATACAAGAAGAATTTGAGCCGTGTTTTTACACCGAGGTGTCCCTGTAAACACACCCAAGAGACAAATGCAAAGCCAGGGCTCTTTTTTTCAAGAAGCCTCCCAGAATTTCTCCTGGTTCCTCTGCCTGTTCCTGGAGCCCCGGGAAGAACGACTCGGGGATTTTTCTCTCCACGGAGCCTGAGAGCTGCTGCTACCTCTCCTTGTTTTGCTCTTGTGTGTGGGACTCTGGAAGCTCCACCCCGGCCCTCCCAAAAATAGAAACCTTGCAAAACGAGGCAAAAAGGCCGTCAGGAACACGGAGTCCTGCGAGAGATGCAAGAGGCCCAACGAAACCCACACCTCGACGGATTTAGACGTGTAGCTTTAACACAGCCTGTAATTTTTAGCTTATCTTGTGTCTGCTGGTGGATGGGAGGGAGCCCTGGGAGGGCTTGAGAGGGATTAACTTTTATGAGCAACACATAAGTTTCCAGTCAAATCAGCACTCAGGTCAATCAGGGGCCCCGTGGCCGCACGCGCCGCTTCCCCCGCCGGGGGCTTCGGGGGAGCATCAGGTCCAAAAGGATCCTCAGGAACAGAGTTTCTAGTCTGAAAAACCTATTTATAGCAACTCAAAAGGTGCTAGAAAAAAAAATGAAGGGTTCCAGGATTAAACATCTTAAGGAAGGAGCGAGTTGTGCCAGCTGGAAAGTGCCCGGGTTTAATGGGACCTGCCCTGTGCCCCGGGGCAAAAGGAGCCCTGTCTCGGGGTTTTCAGCTCTGGAAAGGACTAAAATGAAAGAAAAGAACAACAAAAACCAAGAGAATATTTTCCAGGATATATTCCAATACAGAAGAGGGCAGCTGCAGCACTTAAATAAATAGCCACGATGTGTTTAAGAAAGCAATAAAGGGATTTACTGCAAGGCCTAAAATGGCACCTTCAACGTGACTCCCAAGTGTTAGGAACTGATTCAGCTTGGAGACAGCTTTCACACTTGACGTACAAATAACGTGCTTGGCAAGAAGCTGCATGATCTTCACACCTAACCAGTGGCACTTCCAAGCAGGAAAGGCTCAGAGCAATACAAAAAAATCAAAAGAGAGGGGACATCTTTTCCTTCACACAGAAAAAAACCCACGTACCAACACAGAGCGCTGCTCCTTTATGTCCATGAGGACAAAAATATAGACATTGACAGGTTATAACAAATCAAGGAAGTTGTAGATCCTCTGTCAGACAATCCTCCTCCGTGACCAAGCAAAAGTGTTCCTCTGAAAGGGCTGATCTGGGGAGCCAAAAATCATCCAGCTTGGTTGCAAACCCCCCTAACCCTGCTATCTCTGCAACAGCACCCTGAGCTGGGAACTGTGTCACCCACGGCCTCCAGAGACACACTCAGCTGCAGTTTGGAGATAAAACAGGTTAAGACTGACACGGGAGGGGTTCTGAGAAGGCATTTCCCTTTACCTAAAAATCGTTGCCTCCGTCAAAAGAGTACAAACCTGTTGCAGAAGGTTATCCAGCAAATCCTTGTCCTGCTGAGAAAGTCCATCCTTCTGCAATCTGAGAATAAGTTCAGGTTTCTTATAAGGCTTTAGTGCCAGTAAGTGCACAACCCTATCTTTGAAGGGTCTCTGAGAAATGGCACTATTGCCTCTCTTTATTGCACTGGCAAGGTTGACTGGCGTTGGGCGCTTCCTGGAGGGAACAGCATCGGAAGCTCCTGGTGCAGGTTTACGCACCTGGACCTTTTTGCCTAAAATGAGACGGAGAACAGTTGAACTGCAGCAGTCACCTTGCAAAAAAGGCCAGTGGGGCTGTCAACACGTATCAGAGGAGCTCAGCACGCCCCTCTGAAGCGCCACAAGATGACAAGGAAGGACACAAAACACAACCAGCACGACCCCCTCTGCTCCGACACATCCAGGAGTTTTATGGTTCATGACAAGCTCGTAACGAGTAAACAGCAACACCAAGCTCTGGAAACCTGAGTATTATTGGCCACCAGCTCACATAAAGCTCCCTTTGTTTGCCAGCTTTTCATTTATCCCAAGTGCACGTATCCCCACGGTTAATCTAACTATTTTTTTTCTCCCCCCCCCCCCCCTCCTCCCCTACGAGAAGAAAATTCTGCATTATTATGTAGAAGAGTGGAAATACGGGGTGGAAAGACCAGAACTGGTCAACGAGCGGCTCCCCGCTGCTGAGCTCAGCAAAAACGCTCCTCCAGCAGATGTTTCTGCTTTTAGAACAATAGGAACTTTATGGGGCTGGGTCCACCTCCCTTCCCCCTCCAAACACTGGCCCCATGAATGGGGCTGACACTGGGCCATCAGCCTATTCATCAGGGTGCTGTCTGTGCTCATAGAATAACCCCTTCTGCCCTGGGCTAAGAGCTGCTTCAACCCTCCTCCAGTTGAGTTTTCAGAGAGCTGAGAACGTAAAGCTGCCTCCAAAGTGCACCTGGGGTTCCTCAGGGTGGTCCCTGGATGCCGACAGCACAATCCAAGAATTCCTTTTTTCCCCATTCCCACCGACAAAGCAGCCCCACATCAAAGAACTGGACTCTTCTGAACACAGAAGTGGGTCCCAGGTTCCTGCTACCAAACCAAGCAAAATCTGGGAAGAAAACGGGCAGGTTCCAAGGTCTGAAGGCCCTGGAGGCACAATCAATAATCCCTTGGGCTGGAGGGGAAAGTGACCTTCGCCAGGACAAACAACACCCAGCGTTTCCTGGAGCGTCTCTCTCTCAGAGGTTTATTCCAGGATGGCACTTCTCCACTGCTAGGAAGCCACAACGTTCCCAACTGAGTCATCTGAAGATACTGGGGATTGTCTGCACTGTTTGTTTGCCTGAGCTCGGGTTGCGTAACCCAGGCCCCCGTTTCCTGGCTTTTTTTATCATCACACACCACCACGGGTTGCTCTGAGCAAACCAACCTCCTGTCAGGGCTGAGCTAAAGGTGAGAGAGGCAGAACAGCAACGATTCCTGCAGTTTAGAACATCCCCCAAAATCCAGAGGTCAACTGGGTTTTTTTTTTGTTTCCAGCAATTGGGACTGAGAGAAGATTCGTCAGCTTTCTAGAGCTCCCTGAACTGTTTGCCAGGTCACGAACAGTAAAAACACACATTGGGAGGTTTCCACTTGAGGCCGCAGCCAAAATGTGCAGTGATAGGAAAAAAAAAAAAAAAAAAAAAAAAAACCAACTGAGTTAAGCCAGAACACAAAGGATCTTAAAATATTTATGCAGGTGCATGGATATGGATGCACACACACATTTAGTGTGGATGTTAAGCACACACATCCCCTGCAGGTTTACCTGCAGGCATCTATTTACACATGGATTTATCCAAGTGCCAGTTCACATCTGTGAGGTTCTTGCCGCTCTCCAATTTCAACATTTCCTATAAATTTTTCCACATCTGAGCTGCCTGGAACGGCTCCACTGCCGCTTGAAGTGCTGAGCTCCGTGTTCTCATGGAAATGTGAGAGCCAGTGCTGTCCCCTCCAGCCCGGCCTGCCGGGAATGGGAATCAGCTGATGGTGCTGGCACACCGGGAATGTGCGGATCCCACACCAGGACTGTCCTTTCCAGGCTCTTCCTTCTTGGACCAGGGCTCCCCTCCTGTCTTCAACACTGACATCTTATCTAGGAGCGGCCACTGCTTTTACACAGCTCCATTTTCAGGGCAGTAAAAGGTTCTAGCAGGGGTATTTTTAAATCAAAGGAGTTCTGCTCCGTCTCCCCGGGAAGCAATTTGCTTTTGAGAAGCTTCTCCCTCACGAGCCTTAACTTCATGCACTTACTGTAATGTTCTCAAAGAGGAGCTAAACAAAATAATCTTCTAGTCTACAGGAAATCAATGCATTTCCTTCCTGATTATTATCTCGTTTCTCAGCTTTGAGCACTCTGCCAGTGAGTCAGGGTCAGTTCTACATTTTGCAACTTCACCCTTCTCATCACCCAGATCCTCTGAGCAGGGACTGGCTACAGATCACATGGGCTGCAGGAAAAACAGCTGTCTCAGAGAGAAAAAACAACCAAACTCTGCTTTCTGCGCCGTGTTTGTGCCCTAAGTTTGTGACCTGAGGTTAAGCAGGGCCCTGAGCCTAAAGCTGGGTCTCTGCAGGCTCCTTGTGATATTTGCCACGGTTTTACTTCCTCTCCTAAGGTTTTCCTCCTGCTGTCACAGCGTGATGATCTGTTCAGGCTGCAGCACTGCTGTGGTCTCTCTGCTCATTAACATGACCCGTGGCACGTTCTGCTCTGGAGTGGGCACACACACCAGCTGGGACAGGCTGGTGGCACGTTTTAGCTGAGCTGGCCGTGGGCACAGACACTGTGATGGATCAGCAGGGTGCTCCCAGCGTGACAGACGTGACCTGCAGCCAGCCAGGGATGTCACTGCACACACACGGCCCCGACAGAGCAGAGTCCCACCGTGCTTTGGCCTGGAAGGGACCTTAAAGATCATCCAGTTCCACCCCCTGCCATGGGCAGGGACACCTTCCACTAAGACCAGGTTGCTCTGAGTCCCATCCAACCTGGCCTTGGACAATTCCAAGGACAGGGAAGCCACAGCTGCTCTGGGCAGAGCCCTGAGGTGGTGATGGAACCGTGAAGGCGACACAGCACAAGGAGAGCAGCACCTTGAACCAGACACCCCTAAGGAACCCCCAGAGACTGCCAGGGGCAAGCAAACAACGTCAGCAATGACTCCAGGAGCTGGAGAAGAGCCCCCAGAATGGAGAGGGGGCTTACCTACGTATCTCCCCCCAGGTTTGATGACGATGGCGCTCCGGCTGCGCGTCTCCTCCTCGGCCTGGGCCATGCTCTGCCTCGCCTTCTGGTAGGAATCATCAGTAGCACACACGGTGATTTTGTCCTGTATGCTCCCAAGGCAATCCAGGTGGATATTGCCATTGCTGGAAAAAAAACAAACCTATGGAAAAGATCCTCCTGACGCTGCAAATGACACTGGGGGACAACGGGGGTTGTGCCAGTTAAATATTGGGGGGGACGCAGAGGAGCTGAGAGGGAACTCAAATGCTTCCAAAACTCAGGGAGCTCAGGAGGGAACTCAGATGCTTCCCAAAACCACACTCAGACAGACGAGAAAGGCTCTAAAAACGAAGAACACGTATCGAGCTTTGTCCAGGTTTGTCAGGGAAAAGATGCTACGGAAGGTAAGTTAAAAAAAAGGCCGGGTTTTGGGTTTTTTTTGGAGGTCCCACTCACCTGGATACATACTGCTGGATGCAGTCAAAGCTCCCCTGGGGGCTGTCCTTGCCAATATTTGAAAGGTAAAACGTGAAGGTCCTCACTTCCGTCGGCCGGTCGGGCCTCGGGATCGCGATGTGCTGTTGGGGAGAGGGAAAAACCATCGGTCACTTGGGTGCTCCAGGCTGACACAAACCCAGTTCTCCCGCAGCCACGGTGCTTTCAGGCATTTTGCCACCCACTGTAAGCAAAGCACTTGGATTTCTGCACAGGAGGGCGAGAGGCTACGAGGAGAATTCGAGTTATCCCACCGTGTGTGGACACAAGGTAACAGAGGTGCGAGCAGGGGACTTGCTGCCTCTCAAGCAGAGCCCACAATAACCTTGCTCTAGGAATCTGACCCAATTCTATTGATTCAGGCTCAAAACAGACTGTTTATATTCAATTTAGAACACTCAGGGCTTGTTTCTTTCGAATTAGTGAGCCAGCACTAAACATAGCACCAGCCGGGTCACTAGGTAGCACCCTTCTTCTTTTTTAAGATATTATAATTCCATAACAAGATTTCATGGCTCACAGTAGAGTGTGACGCTGCTGCTAAATTAAATATTTAATCAAGCATTAACTGTGCTCCTCAGACAACTCCACAGCCATCCCTGCATTGTTTTTTTTCTTCTTCCCCCTCACCCCGAGCCATTCATTTTTCAAAAGGGAAACTCTCTCTCCCCTCTGCATTTGGAGATCCAACGTAAATGTCAGCCTCTGAGCTCTACTATCACATCAATATTTGATAATTAAGATGGCTCCCAGAAAAACCAGACAGAAGGAACATCAGTTGCAACCTATTTTGGGCTGCACTCAACCGCACGGGTTTATATTTACCCGGATTTGCCACATAAATGCAGAAAATACACACTCCCAGCAAAACCATCCACATCTGACTGCGCTCAGGAAGGACTGCTGCCGGGACAGGAGGGGTTTTTAGGTGGTTTCCTTTTGACCTCAGATGTCTCCAGCAGCCTGGAAAGCCGACCCAGAGCATCTGTGCCCCTCTGCTAAACCACAGGGATGTTCCCGGGCTGAGCCCCCGCAGCGGCTCCCTGCCCTCCAACAGAGCTCCCTTCTTCCAAAGGCAAGCCCAGAAACCCCGGGCTGAGCCTTGTTTTATACAGAGGGACGAGTTATCCCCGGGATCCAGGGCTAAAAATACTTGGGAGCAGGTTTGGGGGGGGATGTGGGTGCTGCTGGGCCCTCCCTGAGGAGCCCCATTATCTCCCCTGCCAAACGTGCAGCCCCAGCCTCGGGCCCTTTTAATCTGGCCCTGCACCCTCTGCCCCCACCCAGGGCAGGGGAAATAAAATTCCCTTCTGCTTTACAAGAGCAGAGCCCTGGAACCAGCAGATTGGGGGGGTATTTCTGCAGATTAATTTTGCAGGAAAGGTGAATTCGAGGGGGTTGTTCCCCTTCCGGAGCTCTCGGTCGGGGGATCGAGTTGTGCCGCCAACAATTTTGAGTTTGTGAAAGAAAAGCTTTTCTTCCTTGGGAGAGGGGGGATATTTGCACAGAAAATTCCCACCATTAGGACCTCCTTCCTTGGGAGAGGGGAAATATTGGCACAGAAAATTCCCACTATTAGGACCTCGTCATTCCAACTGCTAAAATCTCCCACCAATGGCTTTAAAAATCCCACTGCGCACAAAAGTTAACGGGATTCCCCAGAGGAAGCAAAACAGGAAAGCAACTAAACCATATATTCACACACCAGAGAACTTTCTCCTCGCTCCTCATTTACCATTGGGGGGGAAAAAAAAATTAGGAGCCCCTTGATTTTGGCCTTTTTGTAGAGTTTTTGCAGCTTTTCTGAGGATGGAAGAGGAGGTAGAGTCACTTCAGTACTGAAAAGTGTAGAGTACGAAACCCGGGCCGTTATCTAGGAATTATTTTTAGCTGAAAACAGAAGGTTTCTCAAGCCACCAAATCAGCATGGGGACTGCTTTGAGGGAGCCCTAATTTTGGTGCTGAGCTCTGCACCAGTAACCAGAGACGCTTAAAAATAGCCCTGGTACAGATGTGACTTCTGTTTCCCCTCTTTCAAGTAACATTCATCTGGGTAGGGCCCTGAAGGGAGATTTTTCACCTCCCTCTATTAATACCAGCACAACTTCAGGCCCAGAAATTGGGAGAAACGTTGTATTTTCCCATCACAAAGCAATGGCATTTTTTCCCCCCAACAGTCACGTTAAAAAGCTCCACCAACACGCATTTTTGGCACCTGAAGGGATTTTTTTTTACCCCCCTCCCAGTTCAGTTCTTTCCCTTCTCTCCCCCCCGAGCACCTGCAAATTTCACCCGACCTAAGCTCTGATTCTGAATGTCTTTTTGACCAAAATAGAAGCTTTTTCAGCCTTCCTTGTCCAGTTGTGCATAACTATCACTGGGGTGCTCAGGTTCTGAAATTCTAATTTATCTAATTTGGTGATGAAAAAATAACAACCAGGTGCTGTTCTTAAGGCACATCCACAGTCCCATTTTAGCACCTCAAAGCAGAGCAACACTCTGCTCGTTACGAGCTGGTTACTGGGACTGAAATTGTGATTATTCCACGGAATATTGCCCTGCAAAAGCCATTAACAAGACCAGCCCTGCTGTAGAGAAACAACATCCCAGGTTTTTATAAACTCCTGAGAGATTCCATCCAGACCAGGGCCCATGCAGGAGGTTTTTGTGCCTTGCCACTGGAACAGCTGTTTTTATTTTGGGGCTGGAACCCAAATCGTCCTTTTCTAAAACACCTTCCTGACCTGGTGTTTTATTCCCAACAATTCCCTCCCCTGGTTAATCAGTGTATCAAACATGAAAGCTGCTTTTCTGTCTATTAGCAACTGAAAGTATCCCTGACACTGGAATAGGTAAAAAGACACGGACACAGTAATTTAAAGGCTTCTGGAGAATTAAAGAAGAAGCACATTCCTATATATATAAAAAATAAATATATATATATATATAAACATTCTTATTTTATGTCCTGCCTCCCCTAATCATCAAGTAAAGCTTTCCCTTCTCGTGAGGGGGATATTTGCACAGAAAATTTCCACTATTAAAACCCCATAATTACTAAAATCTCACACCACTGCTCTGAAATCCCACGTACAGAAGTTAAAGGGATTCCCCAGAGCCACGTTTTTTGGGAAGCAAAATAGGAAGGCAACAAATGGGAGAATTAAGGAACAGTGGAAGAAATCATTTAAAAAATAAGCAGCTAAACCAAATATGTTTTAATGTCATCATCTGGATCTGAGAGCCTGTGAAATTCCTGGAATTCTCTCCGGGGTCCAGTTGATGGAGGATCCCTCGAAAGCATTTCCAGCCTCAGTTCCTTAAAGCAGGAGAATCCTGAGAGTCCTACTCTTAAAAGCAGATGGTTCCCCAGCTGCCAGCTCCTTGTCATCCCCAGGAAAAATAATCCTGAAGGGACAAAGAGCTCTTTCTCTCTGCTCCCATGGAGCTGGATCCCGCTCCCTTCAAAGCTCTACCTTTGGCCTTTAACTCATCAGGGCAATTAATTAACGAGCTGAGGTCAGCCCTGGGTGCCACATCCTCTTCCCACCCCCTTTTCCAGGGGCTCACACAGGTAACTGGCAGGTCTCCTACCCAAAAAAATCCTCTCTGGAAGTTAAGGGCTCCAATACAATCAGCTGCAGTAAATATTGATTTTTGTGGGGACCGCGTGGTCTGAAAAAATCACTTGTAATTTGAAAATATCACTTGTAATTTGGAAATATCACTTGTAATTTGAAAATATCACACATAATTTGAAAATATTCTTAATTACAAGAAGAAACCACAGCATTTTCAAACAGTGGGTTTTTTTGTCCACCTCTGATCCACGTGGAACCCACGGAGCCTCAGGGCAGGGGAGTGTTTTAAAGCTGTTCTCCCGTTCCTTTTGCTAAGTTAAAAAAATGTATCATTTCCAAAACTTAAGCAGCTTTACAGGAAAATTCAGGGGCAGATCCTCACCAGCTGCTCTCCAAAGGGAAAGCATTCCCAGTCTTTTATTCTTTAGGATGTGCAAAGCTGTTTTTTCTTCTAATAAAGACAAATCCACACGCCCTTAAAAAAATTTCTCCCCCCCTCGCTTTTGATTTTGCCAGATTTTGATCTCGACTTGCAGGGAAGTTTAATTCTAAACAAAGTAAAAAAAAAAACCCAACAACCAAACCTGGAAATTGCTCCTTTCTGTATTTCCCAGCACAAGGAGCTCTGTATTTTTCTTCTGAACTTACAACAACAATCATGTCTTTCCTGCTGTATTTTCTGGGTGCTATTAGTGAGAATAATGTCACAAAATAGTATGTGGGCAAGGCCAAGGTGCTGGATTTAGTGTCTGCTTAATTCAAGCAACTTTCTGAAAGTTTTAACGTGCCAGTGGCATAAAAGTAAAAACGAGAAGCTGTTCACAGCTGAGTTCAGATTCTTGGGGGGAAAAAAAAAAATTTAAAAATTAAAATTCCCCTTCTTTATGCAAAGACTAAAGCCGAACAAAGAGAGAGTTTTTTTATAAATAAAAAGTATTTAAATGACATTTTTCAAGCTCACTGAAGAGCTGCATGGCTTTACCAGAACCACCACCACGTAAATCTCAACGTTGTCAGCAACTGGCACCACGGAGCGTTTCCAGGGGCTATAAATACCCTGGAAGTTCAGGCATCGGAGCAGAAGTGGGAGAAATAAAACTCCTAAACAGAAAATAACTGCTGGTACTCACAGGAACATTAAACAAAGCTTCAGGACACTGGGAATTTTTGCTGCTGGAAATAAGCGGGACCCGCAAAGCCTCGCACCGACTTTACCCGGTGTTGTTCCCTTGGGATACAGGTGAGGTTTCCATGGATTGCTGTGCTCTTTTCCTTGTCCTACCCATCAGCACGGCCTTCTAAAGCTGGATTTCATGTGGGTTTAGCAAGGGGAGGAAAAAAGCTTTCCTTGGACCTCTCAACCTCTCCCTTTCAGCAATCGGAGCATCGTCATTCCTTGAGCTGGAAGAGCACAAATTCCTGACATCAGCTGTGGAACTTCCCAAGGCAATCCAGGTACAAACTTACCCCTTGGTTTCCTTGAAACTGGATGACTGGTTTTGACGTCACAGCATCCTACAATAAAAACAAACAAATGGAAAACCAAAAATTACCTCAGAGAAATGTAAAAGCTCCAACATTCGCCACCAAAAAACAGCTCAGCTTGATTTTTTCCACCTGCATTTTTTTTTTAACTTTATAATGTTTTTTAAAGGCAAATTTAGGGAAATACAGAGAATTTTCCGAGCAAGAAAAGACAAAAACTCCTGAGATAGAGATTTATACCTAGAAAAGGGATAAAACCGAGGTGACCTTTGGTTCAGGAGAACAGCTCAGAGGTGACACTTTGTTCCTCCCTCCACCACATTTTGGGCACAGAACAGCTCAGCTGAGTCTCTTCTGGTGTTTATATAAGTTTTGAGTTAAAAAATGGACACTTGAAGGGAAAATTTATTACAGATCTCGGCCCGAGGAGACGCAAAGCAAATTTTTTCCAAGAGAAAGCTTGGAAAAGCAAACTGTTGTTACGTTGCCTGTTTCAACAATCAGCCTCTTCCTCCAGATTCATTTGCTTACATTTAAAAAGTCATATTCCTGTGAGCTCTAAAACCCCCTCAAATCTGCTCAAAATTGCCCAATTGCAGCCTTTTTGCCCCGTGGTGGCTCTTTTTGCTTCGCTGTGATTTTAGAGATCACGAAGGCTTTTGAATTCCAACCCTCACCTGAGGTTTTAACTCCAGGGAAAAAAAGAACAGACCCAATTCGAGCCAGGCTAAGCTTTGATTTCTTCCAATTTCAGCAGAATTGGGGCTGTTTTATTTCCTAAATGCCACCCAACATTCCAAGACAGGGATTGTGCTCCCAACTGTGAAGCCCTTTTTCCAAAGGGATAAAAGAATCCACAAAGAGGTTGAAGGATCACTTAGGAGTCAAAATGTTGCCATGTACACACGGGAGACACATTTCCATGGGGAAAAACAATCCCCAGGAAGAGCTTTAGGATCTGAAGTTGAAAGGGGGTGTGTTGGACTCTTTGTGTCACGGTGCTCACGTGGATTTCCAAGGGATTGATTCCCAAGGGATCGATTTCCAATGGATTAATTTCCAATGGATTAATTTCCAATGGATTAAT